GAGACCGACATCTCTAGATGTACAAGGGGTGGATCTTCTGCTGGAACATCGCAGAACCCCACTAGCCTGATAGGGTGCTCCGCCAGCTTCGGTGCCACCAGCCCATCCCCCAGACGCCGATCTACTAATCTGGCCGACTGGGACACCCGCCACAGAGGCCAGGGCATGACCGGGAGGGCATATACCGATTGGCAGGCCTTCCATGCTGATCTTGGGAGGATCTGGATCGAAGAGAGAGATCAGAACGTCCTCGCAGATGTCCCGGTGGATCCCTTCCTGCAGCCGGCAGAGGGGTACATTGATTGGTATCACAGTAGGACTGTGAGACTATTCAATGACCCTAACAACTACGCGGCGATCTCACAGGACGGCGGGTTTCGGCCATATGCCGACCGGGAGAAGTGTCAGGTAAGTGTCTGCTAATTTGTGATTATTAATAATAATAATATTATTATTATTATTATTATTATTATTATTATTGAAGTTATTATTATTATTATTATTATTATTTTTAATATTTAATAGATATTTAAATTTTATTTTCAAACTTCGGGTACGGAGGCGGCGTATAACATGCTATCCAACATTGAAGACTTTGATACGCTACCTCCCCGAGCGCAGACACAGTTCCAGCAAGCCCAGCAACTTCTGTACGCTTCTCTGACTGTTGGGGGTCATTCGGTCACACAAGGGGCGTCGTCGGAGCAAATTTTATCTCAAGAGGAGTACGCCCCACCCCAGCAGACACAGTCCCAGCGGGCGAGGCATAGACCGACGTCCCACATTGGTGGAGGGAGAAGACGCCGTGACCGCGAACCCGCCGATGCATTCCCCGGGAATGAAGAAGACGAAGAAGGTGAGATTTTTTTATTTAACTACAAATATATATTTTTCGTGTTTGTTTTTATTTATTTGTCCGGTCAAATTACTGATTTTTTACAAAAATTAATTAATAAGGTGGACAAGAAGAAGAACCAGCCACGCCTGGACCGACTCAGGATCGTCTTCTTCGATACCGGGGCCTCGGAGAGGGTCCCGAAATCGTAGGGCTAAGATTGCATTTACTCCTAGTTAGTTAGTTTGTTTTGTATTTTGTGATTTTGTGGATTTTTTTTTTTTTTTTTTATTTGACGAATGAATTGATATTAAAGATATATTATTTCATGTTCAAAATATTAAATCAAAATTTATAAAAAACCTTTATATTGAAGGATAAGAATAAAAAATTCAGCTAAAATAAACGCGATTGCTGGTAAACAAGTTCGTGAACATCAAAGAGTCGAGCTTAACCAAAAAAAAAAACTAAAACAAAAAAAAAAGAAAAATACAAGAAACACGGATTCTTAAAATCCGTGTCTATACAAAAAATTATTATTTAAACACGGATTGTCAAAATCCGTGTTATTAAAAAAAAATTATTATCTATACACGGATTTTGAAAATCCGTGTTTTATTTCAAAATCCGTTTTTGTCTTACTTAATTAACAATAATCATGTCATTAAAGAAACACGGATTGTGAAAATCCGTGTTTAGGTCAAAATTAGTCAAACACGGATTTTCATAATCCGTGTTTCGGTCAAGACTAGTCAAACGCGGATTTTCAGAATCCGCGCGTTTCATATTTGTCCACACCCTTTTTTTTTATTTATTTTTGTCCACATAATTTTTTTTAATTTGATTTAAATAAATGATTCACATGTATATGTTTAGTAACGGTTGAATAAAAAATAGTTATTCAACATACAAAATATCAATTTTTTGTGGAAAAAATCTCTTAGTTAAGTGAATTAATATGTAGTCTTAATAGGATTATTTTGTTTAGTTATTCACTAAAACAATATGCATGATACGATTTAGGTTTACCAGGTAATAGTATGTATAGTATGAATGTTCTTTTACGATAATGTGTGTTACATAAATTACTCTGTCATTTACTTTTTGTAATATACATCAAAATAGATTAATTATACAAATAAAATAAAATATTTAACACTCAATTTTGAATCTTGAATTTTAAAATATGTGTACTTCTTAAAAAATATATAGTTACAATTAAAATCAATTGAATAAAAATTATTAATGCATTTACTTAAAATTTATTTTCATTAGTCAATCTTATTTATAAATCATAGATAAATTATAATTTTCAAATTACTTCTCAAAAGTAGGAAACATAACCTTTTACAAATATATAAAAATTATATTAAGATAAAAATAAAATATAAAAGAATCATCATTTTATAATTTATCTAAAATAGAGTTATTTATTTTTCACTTTTAAGATAGTCTTGAAAATCCATGAATGAAAATGATAATGCATGCATGCAATTTTAAGAAATGGAACAATAATTTATTTTGGACAATATACATATATAGGTACCTTCAATCAACTAATGTTACAACAATATATATAGATAGATGGTCACCTTTAATTAATCAAGGATGTTATTGTTCCTAATAATTTTCAAGTATTTTTTTAATAAAATAATTACGACTTTAAAGATATTTTCAAATATTTATATCTCTTATGTCATTATATACAGAGAGAAAATATATATCTAAATATTATGAAATATTACACGTGCAAATATAATTGAATTTTCAACAGTTATGATCAAAATAATAGATAACGAAATATTCAACCATAGTGTTAGCTTCCAATCAACAATTAAAAAAATGATAATCACAAATTATAGTCATAGTATATTCGAGTTATCTTTCAAAGAGTATGAGGTAAAAGAAAGATATTAAAAAACTACTATTTTGACAGTAATAATGATTATTATTTTAAGAATAATGATGATATCATTAAATAACAAAATCAAGGACGACATAAATTTCTTTAGCATTTAAAATTTCACAAAAAATATTAATTTTATTTAGATTTTCTAACCAATATTTTTTTATTTAATTTTATTTGTCATAGAGTTCAGTTAATAGTATTATATATTATATTTTATAATAAAATACACAAATTTTTGTTAAACAATGGAAAGAAAATTATATAATACTATTAAATTAAATCTAATAATAGAATAATTTTAATAAAAACAAAACAAAAATATCACCAGGGGCGGATTCATGTATGGTCCAGCCTAGGCAATTGCCTAGGCTGGATTTCTTTTGCTAACTATATAATTTATATATTAACATATGTTGATTGTTGATTAAAAAAAATTATATTTAATAATTGTACAAATATAAAATACAAGTTTTAATTTTAAAATTTTAAATAATTCTTACAAAGTAATATTATTTTTCATTTAAAATGATACACCTCACCTGTCAGATTCGACGGTATTATATTACAATATTTTTGCTTCTTATACCATATAGTAAGCTTGTAGATAAATTTATCATTTTTTAATTATAATTGATAAATATTTAAATTTAATTATTTTTATTTATATATACGACATGAATGTCAAATTATATATTACGAAAATGTGATTAATGTAATTTATCATATATAAAAAATAATAACAAATGTAAATATTATTAACTTTTAAAATATATTTAGAATTTAAATTAGTCAAGTGTTCATATTTGAAAGTCCTAACAAACATGAATGAAGGTCGATATTTATATGGACTACTTCGAACCCTTATAAAGTGCTGCAAAACTCTACATCTCTATGTAAGAAGATCATAAGGGCCTCTTTATAAAACAACATAAACTAAAATGATGACATTTAGGCTTTTTTAAAATTTGTAAATTATATTTCAAAACGACTCATTTATGACTTATTACAGAAAATGACAGAAAATGGATCGTAAAATATTTTTGATATACTTCTTAATAATAAAAATGCGAAAAAAAAAAAGTCAGACCCCGTTCTTCATTTCATTTTGAGCATCGAGTCAAAGGTAAATTAAATAGAGAATCCCTCTCGATTGTTTCAACGATTTATTTAATTGTTAATATAAGTACTCTATGCAATCTTGTTGAAAGCTTTCTTTTAACTATTTTTGCCCTGGCTCATAAAAAATTCTAGATCCGCCGCTGCGTAGCACGTACATCTTCCTAGTGTTAATAAAAGAGGTAGTTCTTTAATAATAATAATTCTTATAATAAAAACTATGCCTCCTTGATTAAAGAAAAGCTTTAATCGTATGTTTAAAAAAAATCAAAATTCATAAAATTCGTAAAGATATAGAAAATCTTAATTAGAAATTTAATTTTAGTTATCTATAAATATTGAGACATGAATATAAATAATTAGTATAAAAACTTCTAAGTATGTGGACACTCGGATTTGTAGATAATTAATTAGTTATCTGATGGAGATGAGCTCGCGATGACTTTTTTGGATAAATACGATCAACTCCCTATGTTAATTTGATTAGTTAATTCTCGAAGATGGTACATTACATTCCGTGCAAACTGGCTACTGCGGCCACCCACTTGGCACATTTGTTCTTTCGTGAAGTGTATCGCTTACATGGCCTCCTGCCCTCTATTGTTTCTGATCATGACACGAGGTTCCGTAGTTTTTTTCTGCCGAAGTTTGTGGCCCCTTGCCAAATACACGATTGGACTTCAGTAGCGCGTATTATTCTCAAACTGATGGTCAGACGGAGGTCGTCAATCGGTCCGTCGGGAATTTGTTGCGCTGCTTAGCCAGGGCGAGTTTTGCCATAACTCTACCGTCAGTTGGGCCACAGGGTTTTCGCCGTTCCAGGTGGTTTACACGGTTCGGCCTCGAGGAGCTGCTGTTTCGCAATTTGGAAAGTTCTGTCCACTCTGAAAGGTCCATCCACTGAACGAGCAGCCCATCAACAGTGTTCATGCGCAGTTGCACAACACCTATTTCTTTCTCTTATGCATATATGGTGAAATTCTTCAAAATAAATTTCTTCCCAACTCTTTCAACATAACACACATATGAACATATAAAAGCTCAATCTTCCTCACTAAAAATCAAATTTATTTCACCGGGATTATTTTGGTTTGAGTACTTGATCAAATCACCTACTATTCCACTCAGATTAATTTGCTATGCAAGGTTATGACTGACTGACTATTTTTTAGTAAAAACCATGACAAATGTGAAACTCCTTAGTTCCAAATGATCACATATCAATTGAAAAATTTAAACCCATTTGTATATTTTAATTGTCCAAAATTGATTTTTTTATATTAGTGCAGCATTTTTGTTCTTATTGTTACACTCTATATACTTTTTCGCAGCCTAATCTTGACATCAGACGATTCACCAGCTCCTGACGACAAAAAGCTTAAAAATAAGACAGATAGAGTAAATAAAAAAGCAAGCGAGCGTAGTACACTAGTACTTATGCCGTTGTCTGAGCTCTCCATTTCAACTCAAGCCATACGTCCCTGTCATACGTCCTGTTTCGCAATTTGCGCCACCACTGCACAAGCTGTCTATCGAAGTGAACTTGCTCCAAATCGTGCCACCAAAAGTAGGGCTCGGTCCTGACGTTCTTGTTTGCAAGCAAGATGTTTAACTGAAACTCCGAGAGCCTGTACTTCCCGTCTGACCCTCTCATGAAGCTACCACCCCTTACTTGACTCGGTCGACAAACACGAAACAAGCCATTCGTAAAGCCCGAGTACCAAGACGCCGTGCGACATTTACAAGTAGCAAAATCCAAATCCCTTACCACCACAGGCGGCTCGTCACCGAGAAAAGTACTACTACAGGGCACGTTCTGAGGGCCGCCATTCATCCACAGAGTTAGAGAAATCCGTGACCCACTTAGTGCCTTCAGCATTCGTCTCACCTCAAGGAACCACGAATTGACGTTGAAATCGGGATCATCCTTATACGAAGAGAGAAATATTCTTGAGGACCAATCCTTGGAAGTAGTGGTCGTGAAAGAGAATGTGTGCAGCGGCTGAGGAATATGGGCAATGAACGAAAAATGGAGAATGTTGGGGGCACAAATCGTAGCTCCTTTAAGCAATGCTTTGTTTGTCGAGATGGTCAACCACTTGACCGAATCACTTGCAAGATGGAATTCCTCGAAACCGGAGCAATCTTGCAGGGTCAAGCTCACAAGAGCTGGGCAGCCGAACGATAACATGTCGATCGACTCGCTCGACAGGATCACATTCCAGAGACACAAACTCGTGAGACGAGAGAACATGAATGTGCTTTGGCGGTCAGACCAAATCCATGGGCCCCCGATGGAGACTGTCTCGAGATTCGGGACATCGATTTCGATGCTACGCCCTTCAATAATCTTGAAATCAATCAATGCAAAGTGCTTGAGCCCAGGCGCATTGCTCAGCCTAACGTTCCTCAACTCCCTACAAATATTAATGACAAGGCGCCTGAGCAAAGGGCAGCCCAACATTTTCGTCTCGAAAGTCCCGCCATCAACTTGGACGTGTTCGAGTGTGAGTGTGCGCAGATGTTTGAACCGCACGCTCTCGACGGGGCTCACCCTGCATTTTTGCAGGTGTAGTTCTTCGAGGGACTCGGCTAAGAACACTGCCGAGGGCAGACTGTAATATGGCAGAGTAAATGAACGAAAGTTGAGTTTGAACGATTTTATGTTGAGGGCGGGTATCATCGGGATCCATTTGTCGAGAAGGGAGATGACCGGTCGTGAGTCGGGGCTCGGAAAGTCGAGATGGAGTTTGTGTATGGAGAGGTTTTGATCACTGTATCCTTGTAGGGTTCGGTCGACGACCGAGACAAAGTTTTGTTGTGGAGTGTTGAACAATTTTTGGGAAGAATCGAGGTTGGGGCGAGTTGATCCTCTGTTGCGCCATGGTCTGCAGAGGTGATAGAGAATGTGGTGCAGTATGGAGGAGCAGTTGACGGAGACAGACTTTTCTTGTGTGTCGTTGAACCCTTCTTCGGAGAAATCGAGGTTGGGGCGGGTTGATCCTATGTGGCGCCATTGTTTGGAGAGAGCACAAGTTCTGACAGCTTCTTTCTGGGAGAGGAAACAGAGAATGTGGTGAATTATTGGTATGGGCAGGTAGGATAGTCTGTCAACCATGGCTGCGAAGGTATTCTCCTCTCTCTCTCTGTTTTTTCTTTTTTTGTTTTTGGCAATTTTTTATCCAAATTTAATTACTCAATAAATATTACATATTTTCTTGTTTATAGTCTAAAAATATCATATATAAAATAATATTTTTAAAATATCGAATTACTTTTATAAAAAATTTAGATATGTTATATATATTATTTAATAATAATAATAATAGGTAATGAATGAACATCATAAAATATTTTTCAAATAGAATTTTAATAATAATATAACAAATTTTGAAGTTTAATTTTCAACAATAAAATGTTTTAGTGAATTTGGAGAAATAATAATAAGTCATACAATGAATTTGTTCCATAAATCAAAATAGTGAATTGAACAAATTTATGAAGATTTCATTTCAACAATAATATATTTTAATATAAATTATTTTATATTAGTAGAAATATTTGAAATACTTGCGTCATGTATCAATATTTATACATACATAATTGTTGACAGAGCAATTAATAAAACTCTTTTAATTTTTACTCTTGCATTAGTAATCAAGAAATCATATTTTTTATTATATAATTACTACTATGACTAATCATAAAGTCACATTAAATGTAATTCTATTTAGACCTTTTTTTAAATTATTTTTGTTTAAAATTATTTTTTTACTCATTAAGCAAGTTTTTTTTCTATTAAATTTAGTAAATTATTTTTTATGGCATAACTAAATCCTTCAGGTTTTTTTACACAATTGCTATAATAATAATTTCAATATTGTTTTATCCAATTAATTGATCATAATTAATCAGCCAATATTGCATCAATATAAATATTAATATGTAAGTTATATAGTTTATATTTATCTTGTTCGTCGTTTATACTAATGAAAAGAATTATAAAATGTGATATGCTCATTATCAACATTATAATTTTAATTACACAAACACACACATAACGTATAAATTTTATTTGCATTTGTGAATATGAACAGGATCGAATACTAGTACATGTCCAACCATGAGTTATTTGAAATACTTACACACAAACTAAACAAACAGTAGTTACAACAATCACCACAACATAAAAACATCAATCAGTTGATCTCTTATAAATAGTTTGTCTCTCTTAGTTTCAGCCACTTGAACGGTCTTAGGGGCAAAGCACACTCTTTGCACCCGTGTAATCCATCAGCCTCTTGCCGAGTGCCTCCCTTGATGGCTCGCCAGGTGCCGTCATAGACATATATCAGCCTTCAATTGAAGATTTTAAACTCATTTGTATATTTTAATTGTCCATAATTGACTTTCGAAACCAGGCAAAGAAAACGTCATTTGTCAGTCTATTTATATTTGTGCAGCATTTTTTTTTTGCAGCCTAATGTGATATCAGAAAATTCACGAGCTCAGGATAATAACGAGGAAAAGCTTAAAAATAAGAGAGAGATATATATATAGTATATAGAACAGCAACCGAGCGTAGTACTTATGCCTTTGTCTGACCTCTCCATTTCAACCTAAGCCATATTTCCCCATAATACGTCCTGTTTCGCAATTTCAACAGGCCTGTCCACTGCACGAGCTGCCCATCAACGTGCACTTTCTCCAAATCGTGCCACCAAAAGCAGGGCCCGGTCCTGACTTCCTTGTTTGCAAGCAAGATGTTTAACTGAAACTCCGAGAGCCTGTACTTCTTTTCCGACTCGCTCACGAGGCTACCACCCCATACGCAACTCGGTCGACAAACACGAAACAATCCATTCGTAAACTCCAAATACCAAGACGCTGTGCGACATTTACAAGTATCAAAATTCAAGCTCCGCACCACCACAGGCGGCTCGTCACCAAGAACAGCACTACAGGGCACGTCCTGAGGGCCGCCGTCCATCTGCAGAAACAGAGAAATCCGAGACCCACTTAGTGCCTTTAGCACTCGTCTCAGCTTAAGGAACCACCAATTGACGTCGAAATCGGGATCTTCCTCACACGAAGAGAGGAATACACATGAATCCCACTTCTTGGAAGTAGTGGTCGTGAAAGAGAATGTGTCCGGCACCTGGGGAATACGGGCACTGAACTTAAAACTGAGAATGTTGGGGGCACAAATCGTAACTCCCTTAAACGTTATATTCCTTGTCCAGATGCTCAAGAACTCGACCGAATCACTTGCAAGATGGAATTCCTCGAAACCGGAGCAATCATGTAGGGTCAACCTCTCAAGTGTCGGGCAGCCAAACGATAACAGGTCAAACGACTCGCGCGACAGGATCACATCATAGAGACTCAAACTTATGAGCCGAGAGAACAAGAATTCGCTTTGGCGGTGAGACCAAATCCATAGGCCCGAGATATGGACTGTCTCAAGATTCGGAACATCAATTTCAATGTTACGTCCTTCGATCCACATGGAATCACACAATTTAAAGTGCTTGAGCCCAGGCGATGCCGCCTTGCTCAGCCTAACGTTTCTCAACTCCCGACAATCATGAATGACGAGGCGCCTGAGCAAAGGGCAGCCCAACGTTATAGTCTCTAAAGTCCCGTCATCAACTTGGACCAGTTCGAGGGTGAGCTTGCGCAAACTTTTAAACCGCACGCTCTCGGCCGGGCTCAGCCTGCATTTGCTCAGGTGTAGTTCTTCAAGGCACTCGGCTAAGAAGACCCCCGAGGGCAGGTCGTAATACTCCGAACTATATGCTAGAAAGTCGAGCTTGAGCACTTTTATGTTCAAGACGACTATTATCGCGATCCATTTGTCGAGAAGGGAGATGGACGGTCGTGAGTTTGTGTATGGAGAGGTTTGTCTACGAAAGTAGAGATGGAGTTTGTGTATGGAGAGGTTTCGATCAAGGTATCCTTGTAGGGTTCGGTTGACTACCGAGACAAAGTTTTGTTGTGTAGTGTTGAACAATTTTTGGGAAGAGTCGAGGTTGGGGCGAATTAATCCTCTATGGCGCCATGGTCTGCAGAGGTTATAGAGAATGTGGTGAAGTATGGAGGAACAGTTGATGGAGACAAACTTTTCTTGTGTGTCGTCCAACAATTCTTTGGAGAAGTGGGTGTTGTTGAACCATTCTTGGGAGAAGTGGAGGTTGGGGCGGGTTGATCCGAGGTGGCGCCATTGTTTGGAGAGTAGACAAGTTCTGACAGCTTCTTTCTGGGAGAGGAAACAGAGGATGTGGTGAAGTATAGGTATTGGCAATTGGGATATTCTGTCGTCTATGTCTGTTTCTGCCGCCTGCTTTTCCATAGCAAATAACGTGACCTGAGAAGGATTCTGTGGTCTGCTGAAGGAATCAACCCTAATGTTGTTAATAATAATAATAATAATAGAAGAGTTTTTATTCCTCTTTGATTAAGAAAAGGTTAATTGTATTTTTTTTTTAAAAAAAAAAACTATCAAAATTTTAATATTTACCTGTGCTTTCAATTTAAAATCTACTAACAATCTAAGATATTATAATTGTAGAACTTTCAATTAATAAAAATATATTTTGAAAAAAAAAAACCAATACTTTGACCGGTATTTTTGTAAAACCGATATTTTAGTCAAAAAAGTATTTAGAGGAATTGTACCGGCTGGACCTCCTCGACAGGTACGATAATGTATTTAAAAGGATTTTTTTTAATCTTTTTAAATTAGTTTTAACAGGTAAACTTTGTAGTTATCAATTACAAATCAACATTGATCATTTAACTGTTTTATTATAGTTACACCAAAACTGAATTTAGTGGTTACATCAAACTGATTTGCAAATAGAAAGAGTTCCAGAGAGATTTTCTCGTAAGTTTTGGATACAGTGTTTTTCTAATGGCGTCTGCTATCATGAAATGGGTGGCCGACCCGAACTGCAATCCCCTCGCCTCTCTTCACATGAAAACGTTGTCCAATCACCTCAAGAAATACAGTACTTTTTCAGTTTGGATATCTATACTACTCTAAAAGGACGAGTGTTTTTGTAAAAATATGAACTACCTAAAATAACCTTACTTTGACATATTTTTAATGGAAAATTAGTAATACAGTAATACATATTTTAATTTATATTTTTAATTAAAAAAATGAATTACCTAAAAACCCTTACTTTAACATGTTTTTAATGGCAAATTAGTAATACACGAATACCTATTATATCTTATAATTTTAATTAATAACTAATGCTTAATTACTTAAATACAAATACATGAACAATACATTTCAGATCTCCTAAAAATCAAACACAATATTCACGCACCATTATTTCTCACGAAATTGCTTTCTTCCACATATCTCCCAAAAATCAACCTAACATCAACCTAAACAATAAAGTTTTGAAAAGATATAGATTGTTGTTTCAAAAAAAATCCTTGTTTTTAGTAATTTTATACATTATCTGACAAACTAGAAAAGTTGAACAATTTATTTAACTACTTCATTATTTAAGAAAAGTAAAATCTTATATTTAGAATTAGAATAGAAATTGCACTTTAATCTTACTGGATGGAATTTTGATCCCACAAAAATCGTCATTTGTTTGTTTGTTTGTTTTTTCCAATTTTAGTCACAAAGTGAATAAAATTAACGAATTTTCACTTGACCATTAAATGATTAATATCAAGATGAGTAATATTTTAATTATTAACACTTAAAATATATGTACATTCAATAATTAAGTAAAATATCATGAGATTTTAATTATTATTATTTTATATGAGCCACTGATTTTAAAGATGTGTGCTAAATAAAAGAATGATTTGAAAGTAAAAAAAATAATAAATCTGATGAATAACATTAAAAATATAATTAAGGTGTAAGGCTTGCTAATAAATATGAAAACAAATAATAAATAAAAATTTTATAATTAATAAAATTAAACATAAAACTTTTAAAACTTATATTTATCGATGTAAATGAATCGAATTGTTTATTTATTTTTATTTTTTTGTGCTTATTAGTTCTATGTGTAACTTTTAGGTGATAGATAATAGTTATTTGTAATTTTATCCATGTAGGTTGGAAATTTTAATATTTAAAAAAATGATTATTTTAATTTTAAATAAATTTTTATTTGCTATTAGTTTTTTTAATATAATATATAAATATCATATTACAATATAAAATAATAATTATTTTCGTTATTTAATATTAATACGTAAAAAGGTTGTAATTCAATTGAGAAATTAATAGGTAATCTTGAGTTAAAATAACGAGTGATTTCTAAAAAGTTATATAGACTAAATAGTTCATGTGTTTAATATATTTTTAATAAAAAAAATTGTAAACGCAATCAATTAATAGAAAAACTACAACATAAAAATTTTAATATTTAAAAAGGAATGCAAAAAATAAAATGTTATGTTGCAATGAAAAATCCAACGATAAGATGTTCCACTAAAAATTCTAAAGGATATTTCATTTGCATAGCTTTCATTTGAAAATATCATTGGCTATTCCAACATAGATCAAATTATATTATAATGGAATTTTAATGGATTTAATGATTCGAGTTACCATTATTTATTTCTTGTGTGAATTTTCTTTTTGGGAACATATCAATGAAAGTTGCATTGGAAAGCTAATTGCAGTGATAGATACAGACAATTTCATATTGGGGGCACTATTTAGCTAATAGAAAAAATATACCATCAAAATAACATAATGTCATTACAATATTTAAATTTTACTTTTCAAAATTTGTCATCTTTCTCATCTGTAATACATGTTTACAAATCTTTACAGTTACAATAAGTTAAAAGTATTCAAAAAAAATATAATTTTTCTCAACTAAAAGTAAGCAAATCATTGAAAAAAATATATCTTTTAAAATCTGATGAACAAAAAATTTATGTTGTAGTATAGATGACTCGACAATTTTGTTGATGAATTTATAAATTATGACTAATTGATTATAATATTAATGAGAAAATTGTAATTGTATATAATATAATATTAAGATATATAAATAGATTATATATTAACACATATGACCAAAATAATATATTCTTTAAAAATCTTATGAACAAAAAATCTATGTGGTAGTATAGTTGACTCGACAATATTGTTAATTAATTTATAAATTATGAATAATTGATTATAATATTAAAGAGAAAACTGTAATTGTATATAATATAATATTAAGATATACAAATAATTGATATATTAACACATATGACCGAAAAAGTTCTATACATAATATTATGAATTTTTAAGCAAATACAAAATTTAAAAACATATGAAAGAACAATATAAAATAAAAAAAAAAATAAATCTGACAAATGATATTAAAATTTACTAAGTTGTAATACGTACTAATAAATATTAAAAAATAATAAATAAATATGTTATAATTAATAAAAGTAAACATAAACCTTTTAAAACTTATATTTATCAATGTAAACGAGCAGGGTTGTTAAATGCTTGTTAATTTTTGTACTTATTAATTCTATATGTAACTTTTAGGTGATATACAATAGTTATTTTTACCTTTATCCATGTAGGTTAGGAAAAAAAAACACTTGATTATTCTAATTTTAAATTACTATTTATTTGCTATTAGCTTTTTACATATAATATATATAAATAATAATTATTTTAATTATTTAACATTTAATATGTAATAAATGTGACTCAATTGGGAATTTATTAGGTAATCTTGAGATAAAATAATGAGCTACTTTAAAAAAATTATATGGATTAAAAAGTTCATGTGTTTAATGTATGTTATTAGAAAAATTGTAAACACAGTTACTCAATAACTACCACCTAAAATATAATGTTTAAGAAGGAATAAAAAAATGGTATATTGCAATGGAAAATGCATCTGTAAGATATTCCAAAGAAAATTCCAACGGATATTTCATTGGTAAAGCTTTTATTGGAAAATTTCATTAACTATTCCAACAGAGAACAAATTAAATTACATTAAAAATTTTGTGAATTAAATCATTCCAATTACTATAATTTATTATTGTTTGAATCTCTGTTGGATTTTTTACGGATCGTATTTCAACCGTTGAAAAAACTGTCATTGAAATTGTAAAAAAATTAATAGAAGTTCCATTGAAAAACTAATTGCAGTGGCGGATCCAAAATAATTTTATATTGGGCACTATATAGTTAATAGAAAAAGTATACCATCAAAATAACATAATACCATTACAATTTATAAATTATACTTTACATAATTTGTCATGTTTCTAACTTGTAATACATTCTAACACATCAGTACAGTCACAATAAGTTAAAAAGTATTTAATAAAAAAAATGACGATTTTTCTCAATTCAACATAAGAAAATCATTGAAAATAATATTTTTTTAAAAAAAATTATAAACAAAAAATCTATGTTGTAGTATAGCTGACTCGGCAATATAATTGATTAATTTATAAATTACGAATATATAACTAAAATTCCCCTTGCATTAGTTATAAAAGACATAAAAAATATATTTTGAAGATATAGAAAAAAATATGTTGCAAAAGAGAGATTTGAAACTGTCATCAAGATTGAAATAATATAATTAGAGGATAAAATTGTAATTTTGAGATATATATATTTTCTTTAGTTGTGATGCCGCGTTTATGTTATAACATTAATAAAGTTATGAGTTGAATTAAATTATAATTGGTTGAGTTGTGAATTAATTCATTATGTATCTTTCTTTCTTTCTATTTCATTTTTAAAATAGGGGACATGATAAAAATTATGAAAAAATGTTCCCACAAATTTTTATTAGATTCCTTACGCTATATGCTTTAGGATGGAGGGTTGTGTCGGATCTATAAAATAAACATAGATCTGCTCATGATTCCAATAAAATATTTTTGCTAGAATTAGATTCCTTCTGGCATATTTTTCTTACATATATCCGAAAATTCATACTAAGAAAAAACAAAAAATGAATGTAAATATACAACTATCACCAATATTAACTATGTGAATTAAAAAGAGAAATAAACGAGTTGTATGTGAAATTTATTCAA